GAATGTTTTCATAAAAAATTTGTTGATTTATAATAACACTCACTTTATTTATTTAATAAAATAGTGTAGTCAACCAGAGTTGAATAGTTGAAATTTAGAACTTTTTGATTGATTTCAGTGATTTCAGCCGATGGGATACTTTTAGTTTAGCTTAGCATAAAGCATTGAATCAGATTAGACCATTAGCATCTCACAAAAAATTGTTTAGTTTTAAATAAATTTTTTTTTTTTCTTTTAAAGCTTGACTCTTCTGTAGTTACATTGTGTATAAAATATATATTAATATTGAGCTAGGATGTGAGTATAGTTCCTAGCCATATTAGCATAGAAAATAGCAACTTTCATTTGTGTCAGTTGTGAGGCTGGTTTATACTTTTTTGTCAAGTGATCACCGTGACAGATGGCGCTTGCCTTGCGCGTAGTTGTACATTTATACTTCTGTGTGCTGTTTGTGTTCGTCTGCAATAACACATCCGAAACGCTTGCTGGCAGTGAGGTTTTTATGTTCATCTGAACCCTACCTTAATGTACTCGTAGCTAAAACTCGCTCATTCTGAGATGGGAATTGGCGACGTGCAACAACTTAAATCATAAGGTAAACGCAAAACAAAAGTTTCCATCTGGAGCTCCTGTACATGACTCTCCACTTGTAAACACTCGCTCCAGGTTCACAGCACTTAGCTCTCCACCCACACTTATCACAGCTACCAAGCCAACTAATCAATAATACATTACTTGAAATGTGCGCATCAGTGTTGGCGTCAGCCACGGCAAGGGCTGTTCAACCGCGCGAAGGCTGTGTCTGCGCTAAGGCTGCGTCAGACCATAAACGTGCAGTTGGCACAGAACTATTATTTTATAAAATATTTTAAACGAGATGCTAATGGTCTAATCCGATTCAATGATTTATGCTAAGCTAAGGTAAAATTGGTCTTGCCAGACCTAAAAATGGGCTGAACGGTTAAAAAACTCAACTTTTTAACTCAGGGTGACTTGTGAAATGAATTAATTTCCCAAAAATTGTGGAGTGTTCCCCATAGTAGGGCCTGCTGGCCAAAGTTGCCCCATTGTAACCTTTGATTTGGCACATGATCCCATCTTAGAGGAGAAGTGAGTATGATGGATAGGATTGGGGCGAACAGCTTTAACACAGTGATTTTCTAATTTGATGTTATCTTTTTTTGTTTATTTTATTGCCAAGACACAAAAAAGCAAACAGAAATTAAATGTTTTGATTAAGTGTTGTAAATGAATCGTATATTAAAAAAATGTAATGTCACGCGACAGATAGAGGACTATGGCAGACATCGGCAAGCAAAAATCAAGACAAAAACTAGTTAATTCTGTTAGAAATTAGATTGTTTTGTTTTTACTGTAATAAGTTCATTATATTACTGTATTAGTTAATATAAAGCTGTGTTTTCTAGTCATTGTTAAACATTATTAAGTACATTTGAAAATTACCCATGTCAACTATATTTATCTTCGGCTCACTAGCCTCAATCAAGTTTGGTTTTTGGCCCTTCATGAGAATAAGTTTGGGCACCTCTGCTCTAAAGGGACATTTCTCCCAAAAATTCAATAAATACTTTAATTACTCGCTCTTCACTTGTTCCAAACCTAAATGGTTTTCTAACATGTATTGAACAGAAAAGACGATATTTTAAGCAAAGCTGGAAACCTGTAACAATTGACTTCCATAGTTTCTTTCAGCTTTCTTTTCAGCTTTCTTCAGATTGTTTTTTGTTTGACATAAGAAAGAATCTCCTGAAGGTTTGGAACATCTTGAGTTAATAGTGAGTAAATTACCATTAATAAATTATACCTCTAGTAACTAGTAATCTACAACAATTAAAACACTGAAATGTATTCATCCGACATCACCAACTAGGTTAGAGCATGATGTAAACCCTTGCAGGGGAATTTGGTCCTTAAGTGAGGATGCTTTTTTCTCCTCATGGCCTTTATTGTGTGTTGCTACATGGCTTCCATTAAAATGCCAGTGTAAGTGCAGACAGACCAAACAACTCTCTGTCTCTCCGTATCTGTCTCTCCTCCCCCCTTTAATTCTCTTCCACCGGTCGCCTCAGTTTCAGGTTGCTGGCATCCTCCCATCTTCCCCCATCCCACACACATCTCTCTCTCAGAGACACTCGGTGTTGTTTAGGTAAGACCTCATAGCCTGGGGTGAGGAGGAGTAAATTTACTTAGCAGACAGAGGGTGGGTTTGGTGTCTGTGTGTTATCTCTGGCGTAGCATGGAGAATATTTAAGTGTGAGTGCAAATGGTGAACTGCTTTTGGCTCCATAGGTTACACTGGTTAACTCTTATACTTTGAGACATATGGTCAGAGAGATGGTCCAAATAAGATGGTTAGGTCGATATAAAGTGGACACTGGGTAGTCTAACATCTCACAACATCATGTTCTGCTCCATCTCATGCATAGTGATGTCCAAAAGTATACATATCTGCTGAGGAATATGGACATGAGCTTGGTACATGTGCAGTACCAGCTAGTGAACTCTTGAAGTTTGTACATTACTATCCTCATTTTATGTGAATTGCGTTTAAACGAAAATTTGTAATAAGTTCCACAAACAGTTCTGATGACAAAAAGAACCTCAGTAATTTCATGGAGGATAGTATACTGACCATCGTGGACAGTGGATGGCTGTGGTTTACTTATAATATAACAGTCTTAGCTTATTAATTCTATCAAATTTCATACTAAGTAAATTACTTACTACTGAATTTTAGGTATTCTCCAATTGATCAGCTGAAGGTTGGTATTGGCCTATATTCACATTTTATGACTTGCTAAACCTGGCCAATCTTATGAAATGATCACAATGAAACTTTACAAATTTACAAGTAGAGGAAGTCATGTAGGAATCAGGAAATTAGGCTTTATATTAAATTCTCTGCCCGAGCCCAGACATATTCCTGCCACTGTCTTCGGGCCGGGCCGTGATCAAGCTTTTGTGTTTTTTGTTGTTGTTTTTTTTGCTGCGTTTTAAAGCCACGATTCATCAGCGGATTGCTGATTGACGTGACTTTGAAACACTCCAGTGTCGCTATATCTGTGCTTGCACTCAGTAAACAGTCGTGAGTTCAGTGAACTGATGACCTTCACGGCCAATCACAGTCATTTCTGTTGAGCACGTGAACACAACGGCAAATCAACACTGTTTAATAACGTGCTTAGTAGCACTTAAATGTTAGTGGGAAAGGGAGGTTTTTAAAACTTTAGTAACAGTATCTGAAGATTGTCACAGAATTCCAGCATCGTGACGACCCTACTCTAAACTAATTTCTGTAGTTCAAACAACTCAGAATTGTAGTTGAGAACATCTGTTATAACGGCCCTTGTATTAAAAAATAATCTGGTCTAAATCGGGCTCATAATTACAGTTAATGTGTTGGACTGGGTTGGGCTCGGACATAAGGTTGGGTTTAATTTTTTTGGGCTCGATCTAAACTCTACTTTATATGTCAGCAGTGCCTGAACACGTCAGTACATAAATGTTGTCACAGAAGGTAAAAGCTGTCTACAGATGTGGCATGATTTGCAGAGATGGCCTCTTTGTTGCACCTATTGTAGATCCATTGTTTTTAGCTGCTGTGATGTGAGTGGAACAAGCACACCTATTTAGTCTCTCATCCCACCTTATGACCTCTCCTGGCACCTGCGTGTATCTCCTACAGATCCATAGTGGCTCTGCGATGCCCACAAATTAGATAAAATATCCAGGAAATATTTTATTTTAGCCAAGGATTTATGGACTTATAAGATAATATAACTATATTTTAACTTCTTATCCATAAAATATATGCTCCAAAATGTCTTTTTATTGATGCATGTTGAGTTCTTGCACCATTAGTAAGTTTTCTTGCAAATTTCCGTTTCTTAAGCTTCTACTCCACACTATACAATTATAAGGCTGCATCCGAAATCACATACTTTCATACTGTATAGTACGCTAAAAACAGTATGCAAGCAGAGTATTATGACTGAAGTCATAGAATTAGAAAAACAGTACACAAGAATTACCCGAATGACTTACAACTTCCGGCAAGAGATTCTGAAGTGCGCATCCAATGCACGCTATGATATCCCATGATGCACCGCAAGAGAATTCAGGTATGGGAGAAAAGCGACACATCTGATGTGGGTAGGTCCCATGATGATGACAAAATGGTGAATGTAGTACATCCGAGATTCAAATTCCAATGCAGTACCTAATGAGTGGTAGGCAATTTCGGGTGCAACCTACAAGCAGTGTTTCAAATATTGACAGTAGTGTGTTACAGTTTTCGTTTCTCCAGTGCGAGTCCAACTTGTAGTAAATGAATAAATCAAAATTTGGGAGCTCAGAAGCTAAAGACTGTCAGTGGGAAGATTGTTTATTGAGAGAAGGAGATTTCAACACCCCCTCAGGAAGCCTAGGATCAAGCTTGTGTGTGAAACGTGAAGCGAGAACGTGTATTTGAGTGGGTGAGGATGGTTGTACATTGGTGGTCTGTTTTGCCAGATGAACCCAAGCTTTCCCTTCCCCCAACTCAAGAGATGTTCAAAATGATAGAGCCTTGTACTCATCTGATGTGAAGAGAAGTACAGAGTTGGCTAGAGGGAATGGAGCAAGCAATGTTTTATTCTCTAAGAAGAAAAGAGCTTTCTCTCTCTCTCTCACGCTTCTTTTTTTTTGTCCAAAATGTTTTCCCAATATACCCATGAATCTACTGTCGTTCGATTGCTGTCCTCAAGAAGAAACTATTGAAGTTCTGGCAAGGGTCCATTGATTGGCTCAAAAACAACAAACTAATTGTGTGTGCCTGTGTGGGTGGATGGATGGCTGTGAGAAAGCTTGTGAGGATCTGTGGAGAATCTCATATTCATCACCTCCTTTTTTTTAAGCATGGGTGTCTGTGACATTTCGTTCTGGCACTTGTTAAGCATGGCCACTTAACTTTTTATCTTTTGCTTGCTTTCCTGTTTAAGGTGAGTCTGGACTGGGCAAATCAACGCTCATCAATTCCCTCTTCCTGACAGACCTGTATTCCAAAGACTACCCTGGACCATCTCAGAGGATCAAGAAGACTGTTCAGGTATGTCCCCTTTTGCCGACCTCTGACCCCTGATACCGATCCACTGGTCTTGCCTTTTATCTACCATTATCTTTACATTAGTATTGCACTCCCTTTCTTCCCTTACCTTTGACCCTTTATCTCCTGCCACCATTATCCTCCATTGCTCTGCAGCTATAGAGAAGCCATAAGGGAAGTTTTTGTGGTCTGATTCCTTGTCCTTTGGGACAAGATTGCCACTGGCAACCATTTCGTAATATTCAAAGTGGATCTTTTGGGTTGCAAGACTATCTGGATGGCACAGAATACAGATCTTTTTTTTTTCAGGTGTTTCACCATCCAATTTTTGTGTCTGAGAAGATCTTGTTGTCTAAAAATGGGACTTGAACTTGGGTCGTAGCCCTGCCCACAAAACTATTGGCTCTGGGAGTACTTATCTTATACAACTCATTAGACAAGCTGCATCACAATGAGAAAGGATGCCCTGCCTCAAAGCATTAATTGCACTCACACACGGAAGGTTGATTTTTGCTTACCAAGTTCAAGTCATCCAACACACAAGTGCATTAAGACAGCTGGTGTGCAGAGCACCAATTGGGCTCAACCGATCACAAACAGATTTCTGCCTTTTGATAGTTCCAGGCCAGAGCAAATGCTCCCAGATTCACCAGAGGAAAAAGACAGCAGAGTTTTAACCTTATATGGATTTGATAAACAGCACAAGAACAGATGCTGAGGCTGGAACATCAGAAATGGGGGAGGATACACTGCGAGGAGTCTGCTGTATGATGGAGTGACTCAATTGGAGTGTTTTTTAAAGAGAATGGGAGGGGCAATATGAAGGGTCCCAGATTCCTCTGGAGTCTTCTTGGGTTCAGTAGAAGGTCAAGAATTTTCCCACGAAACCCAACACCCGGCAATGACTTTCCCACCACCGTAGATATGGGGCATGTTCTGAGGCGGCCAAGCCCTTTCTGGTATTTTAGTGCAACCACACTTGGTCCTCTTTTATCATGATAAACAAACATTCTCAGTGTCTTTGCTGTACTCAAGACTAGGTTCACGATTGAATCTCAGATCTAAGTTGATTTGGATTTTGTTCAAACTTCAGTGTCGCAAGTTATTTCAGAAACAAATCTGTTCATCAAAATTGAGCAAAGAGCTGAAGCAGAATTCCCATCTTCTTGAATTTGGAAAGATCGCAATATTGACAACTTGTTTACTCTACATAATTTGCAATAGTACATGGATATGGCTCACTAGCCTGCAGAGTTTTGCTTTTTAATTAAACACACCTGAACCTAATTAAGACCTTCAGGATTACTGAAAAAAACTTCCTAGCAAATGTGCTGGACATAACTCTGCAGCACATCAGAACTGGCCTACAGGAGCAGGAGAGGACACCCCTGCTATAAATAGCATGTAAAGTGACATAAATGGTATCATGATTTTTTTTTGTTTCGGTTTAGATTAGGGTGGTTCTGCTTATGCTTGTGTGCCCTACAGCCACCATGTCAAACTTTTTTCCCAGTGACACCTTAAGCTGGGGGGTTTCCAATCCTACTCTTGAGAGCTACTGTCATCCAGATTGTAGCTCCTACCAGCTTAAACACATTTGTAAGGAAGTACTGTATTATGGTGTGTCTAAAATTGCATACTTCCCTAGTATGTGAAAAACAATACATAAACAAAGTAGTATATCA